TGCCGCAACTGCAAGGAAAGCACACAAGGCCCACCTTGGCCAAAAACAAATTTTTTTATATAAATAGAATTCAAACGCCAACATCAAAAGATTTATTGGTTAAATAAAATGCAGAGACATCAAAAATTCTTCAAGAATACGTGATGGATATTCTCTGGATAAATATAAATTTGAACTGACAAATGTTTCAATTTTGAGTTTGAAATTATTGGTATTAACTTAATTTCAACTAAATGTCCTTTTAGATAGAATCTTTATTTAAGTTAGGAGTCGCCTTGAAGTAGGCAGTAATTTCTGATATATACTCTTTATACCCTTGCAGAGGGTATTATAATTTCAGTCAGAAGTTTGCAACGCAGTGAAGGAGACGTCTCCGACCCTATAAAGTATATATATTCTTGATCAGCATCACTAGTAGAGTCGATCTAGCCATGTCCGTCTGTCCGTCTGTCCGTCTGTCCGTCTGTCAGTCTGTCCGTCTGTCCGTCTGTCCGTCCGTTTATATGCAAACTAGTCTCTCAGTTTTAAAGCTATCTGCATGAAACTTTCCCAAAAGTTGTCTTTCTATTGCAGGTAGTATATAAGTCGGAACGAGCCGGATCGGACGATTATAGCATATAGCTCCCATAGGAACAATCGGAAAAATAAATGAAAAAAAATTATAACTTTGCTGTTTTTTAATTTTTTGTTTAGTTCTTCGACGTTTAGTAATGGTTAAATATTTCTGATTTACGTTTTAAATTTCATCAAAATCGGACGATTATAGCATATAGCTCCCATAGGAACAATCGGAAAAATAAATGAAAAAAATTATAACTTTTCTGTTTTTTAATTTTTTGTTTAGCCCTTCGACATTTAGTAATGGTAAAATATTTCCGATTTACGGTTTAAATTATATCAAAATCGGACGACTATAGCATATAGCTCCCATAGGAACAATCGGAAAAATAAATGAAAAAAATTATAACTTTTTTGTTTTTTAATTTTTTGTTCAGTTCTTCGACATATAGCAATGGTTAAATATTTCAGAATTATGGTTTAGATTTTATCAAAATCGGACGTCTAAATCATATAGCTCCCATAGAAATAATAAAAATATATAAAAGAACAATCAAATAATTAAGCTGCAAATCGTCATAGCTTCAATGTTTTTAAACATATACGCAGTAAATCATAATTTTAATGTTTTCAAAAATGTTAAATTCTTGCAATAGCTGCAAGGGTATATGAACTTCGGCTTGCCGAAGTTTGCTTTCTTTCTTGTTTTGAATTGTTATTAATTACTGTGTTCCCTTCTCATTAATAAACTAACTTCTCATTTCTTCTCATTTCATGGACTGTTTTTAGAACCTGACTAAGCTGAAATACTATTGCATGGTTAAGTTACATTGTAAGAGCAGCCAATATTGTCATTATTATCTTTTAAAGACGAAAGAACGATTGCAAACCCCAACTCAGGGCAATAACTGAAAGTAACTTAAGGCTTGCTTTCATTTGTTGCCCTGAGCTGTTTCAACTAATACTCGAATCTCAAGTCATTTCTGCCGATTTCAGCTGATATTGTGTGACGTTAATGTCGATGAACTTCCCCTTATAAGTTGCCAATGGGCACCAGCCAAACCCGAGCCCCCTAATCCAAACTTATCTGGTGTGTGCGACTGTCCCTTGTGACTTAGCGCTCACTTTAATGTTAATGAGCCATCAACTCGAGACATTAAGATCTTAGCCCAGTTTTATGATGATAAAAATGCGAAAATCTTCTATAGCTGACTTTGGCGAGTCAGTGGGATTGGGCGCCTATTTTTCCGAAGTTCAAACACGAATGGATATTATCTGCTAAAGTGAGAGGCTGAACCCAGGAAATACCTGAATGATTATGACATCGACGGGGTTGGCCTTAAACCAACTGCCGTAAAGACCGGGAGACACCTGATAGCTCCCCTGTCACGCTGGTCAACAAAGCTATCCATAAATTCAGACTCGCGACAGTTTCGGGATTTTGCGCTGTCACACCCGTACTATCTGTATCTGTATTTGGCACAGTATCTGCACCTGTATCTGTATCTGTGTCTGAATCTGAATCTTCGCTGGCGCATGACTACTGTTGACTCAGCGCGACTTTTCGCTGACGGATTCGTGTGCAAATATTAGCAGCAAGTGCAAGCACTAATTTACGACAGTTGACATAGACTTATCTTTCCCAAAGGGGATCCAGAACCAAACATTTTCATTGTGAGAGCATGTCTGACCATCGTTGTGATTTGGGGCACACTAGTATTGTTTGATCTGGTCTAGACTTTGGACTGCGTCTATTTGGCCTGGTGATTCTCATTGGTTTATCTAAATTGTGTTAGCCAGAAAAAAGTAAAATAATATAATAGATATAGGTACAATGTAAAATAGTAAAATGCATTTTCACAAAGTTTACGGTCAAGTTACCTTTCTAAAATATTTATTTCAATAAGCCAATATGATTTTATTTGCTTTTGATGGCTATATTCTTTCCATATTCCTTGCCATGTTTAATTAAGTTAGTTTCTCTTGTTTATGGCTGTATTATTTTATGTGCTCATCTGTGCCGCCTAGGAAGTTGAACCCGGCAGCATTTTCTATTATCTCTCCCAGCTCATTAACACACTCATTAGGAGGGCTATCCTGTTGTTTTACGGCCCACTATGACCCCGGACGGAGAACAATGGCAATCAAAGTGAGGACATGCTATCATCCATCACATGTCACCAAAGTTATTTCGAGCTCGTCTGTTGACCGCTATTTGATGGAGAAAAGTGTGTGCTGTTCTGTGCTGGAGCAGCAAGGGATTTTCCAGGGTCAGGCCCAAGGGTCAACAAATAGTTTAGAGCCGCATTCGGTTCAAAGTTGAGCGCTCCCAGAGGAGGAATAAATTTATGCTGATTGCCCGAAATTGAAGTAACCGACCTGCCGCAACATCCGAAGGATATACCAAAGGATACACCGAAGGATACATGTGATTCCAGAGAGAGCGTTCAACTCACCGTCGCTGCTGTTTGATGGATGTGGATTTTAAGTGAGTGAGTCCCTTAAATCCCCAAGATAAATAACTCCCTTGTATGCAAATCGGATAATGGCTAATGGGAGCACTAGCAGCTGAATTTCTGTATCAGCAGAGTGCGCAGCATTCCAGTGGCTTACACAGACACTCGTCGAAAAGTGCCCCAGACAAGCAACTTTTAATTAGATATCGATGGCCACAAGGGAAAGCTCCCCTTCGTGTTTTCTGGAAACGCTTCAATGGGAAAACTTTCCATTGCACTCAATGGAAACCAATAAAACTTGGTCAACTCTCAAGTGACGGTCACCGTGTTCACTTTGTCAAGGCTAGAGCGTAAGGGGGAAACTGCAGTCAAGGTCAGGCGGGATGTGCGGGTGGTGGTTCGGCTGAAGAGCCAAGCAAACAAGCAGTCGCCAACGGGAAGCGGATTCCCCGACAAGGCAATTACCATAATTGCCATACACATATACGTATAAGTTGGTAGCAAACCTATGCATGCATACGTGAAATAGCTACGCTTCTGTTCAAGGACACTCTTCAAATTGAACCGGATGGATACGGATTCCGGACTCAGTAGTCCGTAGTCCGGAAAGAAGATTCCCGCCGAGAGTTGAATGGCAAATAGTTTCGCCATTAGCTGTCGTGCAATTTGCATGACCAGCATCCCACACTAATGAGTTATCCGAACCCACTTTTAAACCTGTCCTGGGATATTGACCCGATTCATCTATGAACTTGGCATAATTCATGTTATCGTCACATTTTTTCCACTGCCCGCAGCAGTTGGCCATTTGGATGGGGGCCAGTTTTCTGGCAGACCATAACATACGTCTAGAACAAGAGCTACATACACTATTTTGGGATGCCATGCTGGCCCTTGGCAACGGCAGCAAGCCAAACTGTACGGATAACCATAGAAATAGCCAAAACACAAATATGGCGTCTTCTTTATCGCTCGAAAAATATTTATAGAAAGTAGAATAGGCTCAACTGGTTGAGACTGATAACGGTGGTATGGTTAAAATTAGCATGATTCACGGAAATATAACTCAAGTATTTTGGATAAGTCCATTCACTATATTTGCTCCTCTTCAGATAAATATAATTGCTTTAAATCAATGGGCCAACGTTGCGTATGAGTAATATTCGGTAAACTTGATTAGATTATAAATTTTGAACGAAAGCTTCATGGTAATCTAAGCTAATCTAGGTACTCATTAAATGTTAATGTGCTTCTGATGAATAACAGAGTTAAATGAAGAATTTAAGAGGAAGTTGATGGATGAAAATAAATGTACTTAGAAATATTTAAACTCTGATTCTGTTGGAAATGTTGTGTATTTAAATATCTATACTATCAAATGCGTAGTAAAATAAAAACATTTTATGAGAATTTGAAAAAGAAACTTTGACTTTTGCAATCGAAACACCCGTTCCTCGTAAAGTCAGCTGACCCAGAAATAATCTTTGGCTGTAAATCGAGGGCGCGGTAGTCAAGTCGAGTGTGGCCATAACAATCACGACGTTGATTTGAGAACTTTATCGGTTAGGTAAGACCCGGATTCCTCTGTCTGGCTAATAACACCTATCTAATCTGAAGAAGTTCTTTTTCTGGCTACTGGGGTGGTTAAGCTGAGACTAATTACTATATTATGTCGTGCGGTCATGCGACCAGATATTTCTGCCTCGCGTGGCCGCAATCTTTATTCACTGTTAAAATTGGATGTTTGCTGATTCCTTAATTCCCCAAATGGCACGACTTAAACGTTGTTTTCATACATATCGTTTTATGTGGGAACAATGGTGGTTTTACTGGTAGGATAATGTTTTAAGAATTGGTATTCTTTAATAAACACAATATGTTCTTTATATTGAGATAGGAAAATGTAAGGGTTATAATAACAAAGCTTTTAAAATCATTTTGTTTTTAACAATTTTCTAATTGCGAAGCAGGCATTGCAATAACTACAACTGCTCAATAATAAAACCGAAAAGCAATGTTTGCCAAGCTCCGAAAGACCCATCCTGGCAGCGAGGCGGTAAGACCCTCCTCTCAGCCCGACTGTTCAAAGGACTTGGAAAAGGACTCAAATGTCACGGTTTGCTGATAAAAGAATCAACCCATTAGGTGATTCTAAGCCCGATTTTTTCATTTCCAGAAAAAACGAGTTGAGTATGTCCTCAGCCGAATGCAGCAGCTTTTGTTATTTCTGGTCATTTTCCTCTTTTTCCCCGTGGTGATCTTCTGCGCCTTTAAGTTTTTGGTGATGGAACCGCTGTATGGGATCAGCGATTCCAATGTGGCCATTGGAGCTGCCGTGGCCACTGTGATAGTGATGCATGTCCTGATCACGGGCTATATCCTGCGCCTGATCTTCGTGCAGGAGTTTTCGCGTATGGAAAAGCTTGAGGTGTGGACCGAATGGGAGATTCTGGGGCCACCTCAGAGCCAGGTTCACGGTCCTGTCTTCATCGTCCTGCTGCTGATGTCCTACTTCTCCCTGATCATCGGCTTTCCCATAGCCACCTTCTTTGCCCTCAAGTTTGTGGTGCTCAAGAGTTTCGCTCACATTGACGCCGACATTATTTCGGCCATCTGCACCGTTGTGGCCGTTCATGCAGCTGTTGGCTTCTACATTTATCGGGCCATCTACACCAAGGGTGTATTGGCTAAAAGCAGTCGCGATAGCGGTTAGGTATCCCTGTGATTTTTTTAAGAGGCAAGCTAATTTTGTTTCCCGGAAGTATAAAATGAACTCCATGATCTAACAACTTTACGAGTATTAAATAACATTTACATAATGAATTTACAATAGTTTTTAACTTGTAGCACTGAACTATGTCATTAAAAAAATTAATTTAAAATGACCATGTACATGCATTACATAGATTCTAACTGTAAAACATTTTTTAAAGATTATTGCAGCATATATAATTTTCTTGTAGAATATGTTTCCATTCTCCTTGATTCAAATATCTTACTTATTAAAAGCAATTATTTCGAGATTCCTTAACCTGTGATTCTCTTTTACCCAAGGTACCGAAAACCTAAAAATTATTTTATTTATATCTTTCACACTTCCAGAATTCATCAATAGTCTGGCAAATACATTTTCCCCCTGATTTTGTGGAAATGTTTTCGCCAATGAGAGAAATATTTCCCCCGCAATGACTTGTGTTTTGGGTAGAAGTTGTTTGTGTTAAAAACGCAGTTCAGTTGTCTACATGTCCATCTAATAATTCTGATTTTTTGACGGGCATATGACCAGGGATTTTTTCCGAGGACAAATAACGACTGCAATCTTAGAAACTGCGCATGGAAAGCTTGCCAGAGTGACGAGCCCCCGACATGACAACTGCCAGAATTAAACTGTATAACGTGATCTTATTTATTACCCATATCGGCTGATGTCTGTCAGAGTCCGTGACTTTGTCCTAAATAATTGTTCCTGACTTCGGCGCCGTAACAGGTGGCACTCGTAACTTTAGTGTTTGCCAATGACCTAAAAATTGAAAATTACAAAATCCCCACAAAGTATTTTACATCGAATTGGATACAAAACATCTGCACAACAAAAACATTAATATTTTCAGATTTCCTTCGGTTTGTCAGATTTGAAACAATTTGAACTTGACTTTTCTAAATAAGATTTTACAAAAGAAGGTAGATTTAATTAAAGTAATTATAACGATCAATATGATTGGTAAAACTGAATAATACTGATTAGATTGCTTTATAAATTAAAATATAAATTTAATTTATTTTTTTTTTATTTAATGTATAATCATTGAATTCTTTTTTTATTTGACGAAATGGGGCATATTTAATGAACAACTCCAAATTGTATTGCGTTTACTAACCATGGCATCAATGTTTTTCCCTTCTGTTTTACAACTTAAAAGCACAGACAAATACAGATTGTGACAGTTCCATTTTTCATCTGCCAGGTATAATTAGCTTTGTTTGATGATAACCAAACGTGAGTATTTTTCTTTGTTCGCACTGACACCCTTGTGACGTGCAATTAAACGCTTCATCCCCAATAACTATTGTCGTTTTACTGCCTCACTTATGGGATGCACACGCGGCGACACTAACAAGTCGTTGCCAAAGCGGCGCAATATTAAAAACAAAGTCCCAGCGAGGAACTCACACATTTATTTGTTCTAGATGAAAGGCCAAACATATTGTAACAACTTGCAGTAATAATGCTGTTGGCTCGAGCGCAGCTAGTTGACTGAGTAAACAAACAGGGGGCATCAAGTAAACAAGTCGCCCAGAGCAACAGGTCGGAAGCATTCAATCCATCCAGCATCTCTCCAGGCGCATGTGCAGGAGTTTTGCGAGACTAAGCGGATAATATTCAACTCTGTGATCCGTAATTCGAATGATAATTTTATTTTAACACTGGCATTAACAAAGATATTTTAAGTAAAATAAAAAATTATTATTTTTACCGGCTATTTATTTAAATTTGAATTCAAATGTTACAAGCTGTTAGAAGGCTGCCGTACTGCCAAAAAGGGCATACAATTGGCAGCCCTATAAATGCGGTAGCGCTCTCTAGTGGCTTTAATTTAAACTGCTATTCAAGCAACCCAACAGATGGCGGCACTGAGAAAGTCATAATTTAAAATGGAACGCTCTCTAGTGGCCTTAACTAAAACTGCTGTTCAAGCAACCCAACAGATGGCGGCACTGAGAAAGTCATGATTTAAAATGGTTTTAATTGCATGTGCGCATGTGCAGGAGTTTTGCGAGACTAAGCGGATAATATTCAACTCTGTGATCTGTAATCCGAATGATAATTTTATTTTAACACTGGCATTAACAAAGACATTTTAAGTAAAATAAAAAATTTTTATTTTTACCGGCTATTATATTTAAATTTGAATTCAAATTTTACAAGCTGTTAGAAGGCTGCCGTACTGCCAAAAAGGGCATACAATTGGCAGCCCTATAAATGCGGTAGCGCTCTCTAGTGGCTTTAATTTAAACTGCTATTCAAGCAACCCAACAGATGGCGGCACTGAGAAAGTCATAATTTAAAATGGAACGCTCTCTAGTGGCCTTAACTAAAACTGCTGTTCAAGCAACCCAACAGATGGCGGCACTGAGAAAGTCATGATTTAAAATGGTTTTAATTGCATGTGCGCATGTGCAGGAGTTTTGTGAGACTAAGCGGATAATATTCAACTCTGTGATCTGTAATTCGAATGATAATTTTATTTTAACACTGGCATTAACAAAGACATTTTAAGTAAAATAAAAAATTATTATTTTTACCGGCTATTATATTTAAATTTGAATTCAAATTTTACAAGCTGTTAGAAGGCTGCCGTACTGCCAAAAAGGGCATACAATTGGCAGCCCTATAAATGCGGTAGCGGTCTCTAGTGGCTTTAATTTAAACTGCTATTCAAGCAACCCAACAGATGGCGGTACTGTGAAAATCATAATTTAAAATGGAACGCTCTCTAGTAGCCTTAACTAAAACTGCTGTTCAAGCAACCCAACAGATGGCGGCACTGAGAAAGTCATGATTTAAAATGGTTTTAATTGCATGTGCGCATGTGCAGGAGTTTTGCGAGACTAAGCGGATAATATTTAACTCTGTGATCTGTAATTCGAATGATAATTTTATTTTAACACTGGCATTAACAAAGACATTTTAAGTAAAATAAAAAATTATTATTTTTACCGGCTATTATATTTAAATTTGAATTCAAATTTTACAAGCTGTTAGAAGGCTGCCGTACTGCCAAAAAGGGCATACAATTGGCAGCCCTATAAATGCGGTAGCGCTCTCTAGTGGCTTTAATTTAAACTGCTATTCAAGCAACCCAACAGATGGCGGCACTGAGAAAGTCATAATTTAAAATGGAACGCTCTCTAGTGGCCTTAACTAAAACTGCTTTTCAAGCAACCCAACAGATGGCGGCACTGAGAAAGTCATGATTTAAAATGGTTTTAATTGAATACAAATTGAAAAGAAGAACAGAATAAATATGTTTTTGAAAAGGTAAAAATATATTTAATTTTAATTCTTTGTATAAACTTATAACTTATTGCATTTATCACACTAGACAGGTTAATATAGAACTTTGTTTGTTTTCTTATAAGCATCACAACTGCACAGAAAAATCTATCATTTTTAGCTCAACCGATTGCTTGTTGCTCAAGGCAAGCATCCAAAAATAATAATTCCCAGGTCGAAAGCAGCAAGCAAACATGTCGATGATCTTTAACACGGAGTGGGGCTACCTAGAGGCCCTGACGCGGGGCTTTAAGAACGGCATGCTAAAGCAGTCGGACTACCTGAACCTCACCCAGTGCGAGAGTCTCGAGGACGTGATGATCAGCATCCAGGGCACGGACTACGGCCTCATCTTTGGTGGAGACTTTTCCCAACCGAGTGTGGAGGTGATCGAGAAGGCCCTGAGGGACCGCATGCTGCAGCAGTTCTACTATATACGTAGCCATTCGACGGAACCGCTGTCCACGTTCCTGGAGTACATCCGCTATCCATATATGATAGACAACGTAGCGCTTCTGATCGCGGGCCTGAACAACCACCGACCCATGAAACGCCTGTTGAAGATGTGTCATCCCTTGGGTTTTTTCGACCAACTTGCTGCCATCGAAGTGGCCACGAATTCCGCAGACCTCTTTGACGCCATCCTGATTGACTCACCAATCGCCCAGTTCGTCCCGAACAATCTGCCCTGGGAGCATCTGAGTCACATCGATGTGGAGATCGTGCGAGCCACTTTGTACCGGGAGTACCTGGAAAACTTCTACGAATATTGCCGCAAGCTGGGTGGCAACACCGCTGACGTAATGACCAATCTGTTGTCCTTCGAGGCGGATCGTCGATCCATCACCATAGCGGTGAATGCGATCGACAGCGATATAAGGTGGGTGTCCTTGCTCGAGCCCAGAAACTAAAATCATTTTAACCAACTATTCCATCATAATTTGTATTATTTTTTCGCACCCAGTCCAAAAGAACGGCTTAAGATGTTTCCCACCTGCGGTTTCTTACCCAAGATAGCCCTGGCCAGTATGTCCACCTTGAATGATAGTGAGAAAATACGGGACGTGTGTAACATGTTCGAGGGATACGGCAAGATGTTCGACAACTTTGAGCGGGACACCGATGGCATGATCACGCTGGAGGACCGTTTTCTCATGATGGAAGCCAAGAAAAACGTGCAGACCTTCCTGCAGCAGTTCCACTTTGGGGTCTTCTACTCGTTCATGAAGCTCAAGCAATTGGAGTGTCGGAACATCGTCTGGATCAGCGAGTGCATTTCTCAGCGCCAAACGGAAAAAATCAACGCCTACATTCCCATACCATTTGACTAAAGTTATTCCCTTTTCATTCCACGTTACTCTAATTTTATGTATGTGAACCTTTATTTTGTCTTTTACTTTTGATAATTATTCTTAAATGATGGTTTGTTTGGAAATGCGTTCTAAAATTTTAAAATTTAGTTAATATAAATACACTAAATGTAAAACAAAGTAGTTTTTGCTTTGTATCGATACTTACAGTTTTTTTTGTATTAGCGCCTTAAAGAAGTCAACAACCCTAACTGTATTATAAAATAATTTAATATATAACTGCATTTCCTTAACTATATGTTTTAAAATAATCTAGTAATACAAATAAATGTATGTTTTATGTATCTTAGTTGTATATTTTTTTTTAAAGAGCGAATGAACGTTTTACGGAGTGACAATCGAGGTGGCAAAACACAAATATCGGAGACGCCAACCAGTTAATGAGGCAAAACACAAATATCGGAGACACCAATCATGTTAATGAGTAGTTAGCAGGGACTCCTCACATTAAAATTCTTGCACACTGTTAACTTTTCACTCCAGATAATGTACTGTAAAAATCGGTGTCTGTTTACATTTTTTTCTTAAGCACTTGGCGCGAAACACATCGATACCGAGAGGTTCAAGCCGATAAGCATCGATTGTCCCTGCCAAACATCAATAGTACCGATATTTTGAAAACATCGATTACATCGCTGTAGGCATCGATGTTCCTCACCCCCAGCGGTGAATTTGCGTGCTTGTGGTGGGTTTGTGCTTTGCAGTGAAATGTTGGCGAAACGTCGACCTAACAGCGAAATGTTAATGAAACGTCGAACTAACAGAAAGAGAGAGAGAGATGGGTGAATAAACATCGATAATCCCTGCCAAACATCGATAAGACCGATATTTTGAAAACATCGATGTGGGCATCGAAGTTTCCCCACCTCTAAAACAACGATGTTGGGAAACGAAACGAACAAGCTGCTGCTCTCCTCGCAGCAGGAAAAACCCAATCACTACACGTAAATAAGTGGCAATTGTGCTTTCCCGAGCTGTCCGTGACCTCCGACCTTCGCTCCGTCAATTTCAGCTACCTGAAGGAGTTCCGCGTGGAGCAGTGCCAGTCCTTTTTGCAGCACAAGTGCAACCAGCATCGCCCCTTCGTCTGCTTCAATTGGCATTTTCAAAACCAGCGTCGGCGTCGCCCCGTGCGAAAACGCGATGGGACTTTCAACTACAGCGCGGATAACTATTGCACCAAATATGACGAAACCACGGGCATATGTCCCGAGGGCGACGAGTGAGTACAAAATTCCCAATTCAAATCCTACTTCTGGTGAAATCGCTGGAGGATGGGGGACAGCAATAGCGAACGACGTAGTATTTTTCCGTTTCCTCTTTGCGCTCTCTTTCCTTCGCGATGTGTGTGTATCTCTTGTCTTCGTGTTTACAAACAAAAACCAAGGTGCGGGTGTGTGCGGGGGCTTGGCGTCGTCTGGAAAGCTAAAAGTGAAATTGTAAATGCGTATGTGGGTGTGTTGGTCTGAGTGTAGGCGAGGTCACCACCGTGCAAAAGTGAAAGTGATTTTCTTGGGCTAGCAAATTCTTATCAGCCTCCGCTGTGCCTTTGCAATGGTGGTTGTTGCTCTTTCAACGCTCGTATATACACACACACATACGCCTCCGCTACAAGTGTGTGCGTCATTGTTTTTATTGCGTTTCGCTTTTGCGTGTTTTCTTCTTCGTTTATTTTGATTTTCCCCGGCAGCTTCGAAATGTACAGTTATTGTGGCTGTCGAGCTTTGGAGAAAAGCTCTGCGAAGCGCAAGAACGGGCTAAAAGTACTACGCAATTACGTTCTGCTAGAAGCAACAACAACAGACAAAGTTTATGACCCAGACTCGAAATCCGACCTCTGACCCCTGCCTATTTTTACACCCTCTATTCTTCTAGGATCATGTGGGTATATCGAATATGAGAAAAAGTGCTTAGGAGCATAATCTGGATCTTCCATAAGAAAATGTTTGACCAATGTGATTAATAAAGACTTCGAGTTACCCTAATACTTATATTTAAAAAGTGAATTTAAAATTTAGAAAACGTATGAAATTTGACAGTTTAAAACCCTACTTACTTACCTTATAATGTGTTCGAAGAGTATAAATTTGACTGTATTAAAAATGATTAGCTTATACAATCTAATTGTACTAGTGAATGATACATTTTCGGAAACTGTTTTAATATTGTTGAACAAAAATAAGATAGAATGCAAAATAAAAAATTTTTCTGCACTAAATGTAACCGGTTTATCAATTTTGGTGGGTGTCAAAAATTGAGTAAGGAATATCCCAAAGTCTGGTTACTTTCTTTTGTTATGGCCTCTTTGTGCGTCACTGAAACTCCCTTCTCCTCCCACAGATGCCCCTTCTTACACCGCACTGCAGGAGACACCGAAAGGCGCTACCACCTGCGCTACTATAAGACATGCATGTGCGTACACGACACCGACAGCCGAGGATACTGCGTCAAGAATGGACTACACTGCGCCTTTGCCCACGGAATGCAGGACCAGCGCCCACCGGTCTACGATATCAAAGAACTGGAGACCCTGCAGAACGCCGAGAGCACTCTAGACAGCACTAATGCTCTAAATGCCTTGGATAAGGAGCGCAATCTGATGAACGAGGACCCCAAGTGGCAGGACACCAACTACGTGCTGGCCAACTACAAAACAGAGCCATGCAAGCGCCCACCGCGCCTCTGCCGCCAGGGATACGCCTGTCCACAGTATCACAACAGCAAAGACAAGCGTCGCTCGCCTAGAAAGTACAAGTATAGGTAAGGTTTCTTCTAAAAGTCAACCAAACGTCAAATTTAACCCGCGTTACGCTTTCTTGTAGGTCCACTCCTTGCCCCAATGTCAAGCACGGCGAGGAATGGGGCGAGCCGGGCAATTGTGAGGCCGGCGACAACTGCCAGTACTGCCACACACGCACCGAACAGCAGTTCCATCCGGAGATCTACAAGTCGACCAAGTGCAACGACGTCCAGCAGGCCGGCTACTGTCCGCGCAGCGTCTTCTGCGCCTTTGCCCATGTGGAACGTAAGTCTCGAAGAGTCCATACCCCCATAGTTAATCCCCAGCTTTCAGCGCTGTGCTCCACAACCAGTTGCCGTAGGGAATTGTGTAGGGCTAAGTTATGATATTCCTGTTCTAACTCTATGTTTCTCTTTTACTCGCCTCATCAATCAACTTGTAAATCTGTTTCAAACTACTATAAACCTATTGAATTATTTAAAAATCAATGCATCAATCAATTTTCGCTTTGCCGCTCGGTGTTGCTTGCCCATGTAACCATTCCCAATCCAAAACAAAATGCTTGCTCAGTGGCCGAGGAGAAGATGAGGAATCAAGAGATATCACTGAGCGAGTTTATTTCCCATGCCTTGCCCGACCTAGAGGCCCAGGATGTGTTTCAGAGGGGCGACAATGTACGTATGATCCAACCAATAACACATGTTCAAAATCCAAGCCTTCGATGTGCTTTGTCTAACCCAAAACTTACTACCACACATTGTTCGTCGCTCTAATCCAGCTAACCAACATCAGCTAACTGCTTAAAACTTTACCCTTACCAAATCATGCAATCCTGTGGCCTGCTCTCATTGCGATCCTCGATTTTTTCTTTTCGTTTCGTTCTCTTCGTAGTTGTTAAACATTGATGGTAATAGTACCAATAAAATGTTGGTAGATGCTTTGGAAAACACAACAAATCCCAGCAAATTTTTAAGTTTCTCACGACCTATGGATAGTCGTTGTGAGTATTTAAGAGTCCTGACATGCGTACACCTAAGCTACACGCCAGAATTTACTACTTTCAATGTTGGTTGTGGACAAAATGTCAGCGCTAAGACAGCAATCGCCTCGCTCTGTGCCCAACTTGCTTAACAGAAAATTAATTATTTATTTGTCTTCATTCTTTGCAAGCAGCTTGCTCACTGGACGATCCGCGCGAGAACTCACTGTCGGCGAGTCTGGCCAATACTAGCTTATTAACACGTTCCTCGGCGCCAATTAACATTCCTAATACGACTCTAAGTAACTCAATAAACGGTAAGTCATTAACGATACACGTTTATCGTCTATTTGCTAATGCTTTTACAATTTCAATTTGCATAGATTTCAACTCAGGGGGCTTTGCCGTCAACATTCCCAGCAGCTCGCTCACCTACAGTCCCACCAACCATGCCAATCTCTTTAATGTGGACGCCTTTAACTACGGCGGCTCAAACAAGCTCAGCAATTCCCTGTCGGCCACACAGAACGAAAGCAGTCTATTCTTTCCGTCGCGCATCATATCGCCCGGTTTTGGCGATGGCTTGTCCATTAGTCCTTCGGTCAGGATATCCGAAATGAACACCATACGCGACGACATCAACAGTAGCTCTGTGGGAAATAGTCTGTTCGAGAATACCTTGAATACGGCCAAAAATGCGTTTAGTCTTCAATCGCTGCAATCTCACAACAACAGCGACCTCGGCCGCATCACCAACGAGCTGCTCACAAAGAATGCTCAGATCCACAAGTTAACCGGGCGCTACGAGGACATGGCTTGCAAGCTGAAGATTGCCGAGCTGCATCGCGACAAGGCCAAGCAGGAGGCACAGGAGTGGAAGGAGCGCTACGACCTGGCCCAGATTCAGCTCAACTTGCCGGCAGAGCTACGGGACTTGTCCATACAGAAACTTAAGCAATTGCAGGTTAGTCACAATACAGTACTCTAACCTTAATGGACCTGACCAGTTTCAATTTCAGTCAAAACTGCGCACTGACTTGGAGGAGGTCGACAAAGTATTATATTTAGAGAATGCCAAGAAGTGCATGAAGTGCGAGGAGAATAATCGCACGGTAACTCTGGAACCATGCAACCACTTGTCCATTTGCAATACTTGCGCTGGCTCGGTCACCGAGTGTCCCTACTGTCAGGTGCCGGTGATAACCACCCACACCTAGAACATGTTTTATCAGCAACAGGACCACAAGTGGCCCTTTGGCTGAAAATCGGATACGAAAAATGATAACGATGGGATATGGATGGATCGTGGGGATCAAGAGCGCGAACAACATGACAATGTGAAACTCACAAAGCAAACTTTAGTCATAAGCACAACGTTGAAACTTTTGATCGTTTAGGAGATGCCACATGCCAATACACATGTGCATGTGGCAAAGAATATATAATTTATATTTCCACTCTACGCAAATTATGCAAATTATCGTCATGAATATTAGCAATTACTAGGCACAAACTATAAATTGATTTAGATAGCAGATCTAAACAAATAAGTGTATGATTTTATTTTTGTTTATTTTTTACTCAAAACAACTACAGGAACATTCGCAAAAAAAAATTAAATTTGTATTTTTTTTTTCTATCGTTGCATAACCAATTCTTTTAATTTTGTTTTAATTTTTTCAGTGTTTTAGGCTTACTTATTTTTTTTATATCTAAACAACTGCACGAATTTGCAATATTTCTCATATACTCTTATTTTATCAACATATATTATTTTGTGTATCTTTTTATTTGTATTTTGAATATGCTTCACTTTCAGTCATATTGTACTTTTCACTAGTATTACTTAAGAAATGAAACTAAACCATTACAAAATGTAATTGGTTAAAGATATGATATATATAAAATATATTAATTTTTCTAGACACTTTTAGCAATTGACTATTAACAAATTTATAGAAACCAACAAATTGAACAAGTTAATAATCTTAAACAATTTATTGTCGCATAGAAGAGCAGCAAACAACCATAAGCAAACAAAAACCACCAGTGATTTTATATAAGCCGATTTTCAAACTGTATTTTATATGTATGTGTTTCAAACTTGTGAAAACAAACGACAACTAAAAGCCAAGACAAGCGTCATAAAATCTATGTAACTGACAGATAAACAATCTTAGTCAGTATTTTGCTTTTATATTATTATTCCAACTGCACAGAAGTAATTATAGACATTAGAATGACTTGTAACTGAATGCGACAACGCCGCTTTTCCTTATAGAAGCGTTAATTTTGTTTTGTGAAAACCAAGTTAAATGTATTAAGACACTTTGCTATTATTTTGGCTTTGGTGGGTGCACCGTCGGTAATAAAATGCCAATAGCGAGCCACAAAATTACAAACTTACGTATATACTCTATTAGGTTATTGTGTGATTTATGTAGTCCTTTAAGTACTTACTTTGCAACTGACTTCAATCTTCAGTTTACTTTCATAGTCTCAACTGGACGCTTCCAATGTAGTAAAAGCAAAAAGAATCGTCAATGCCAGAACGTAACATATAAGAATATCAAAATCAAGCATTCGGCTAATGGTACAAGAACGAATATGCATAGATATATATATTTATGAAACATTTGAAAGCAGATTCGATAAGCGTGATGTAGAAAGCATAAACTATAAAAGTAACTTAATACAGCGAAATGAACAGAGTTTGAAGAAAATGTTAACCAGAGTTAATGTAAAACCGTCTTCAAAAACCATTGTATTTTTTTGTGCGAAAATAAAGTTATCAAACGTAATCAATTGGTAGCTGTGGTCAATGTTGTATGAAACTGAAACATGTTGTTAGCTAGTTGAGTTAAATTGAAAAATCATGTAATCAAAACTGGGCTGTTTTGGGAAAGAAATAAAAATGCAACAGCATAGGCATTTATTGGAAACAAGAGCAACACTATGAATATATACAAAATAAAAGAAAACTTTGAAATACATTATTACAAAGCTAAATAGAAAAGGCAGCGCAAAGGCTTTTATCTCTGTGTGTGTTTGTGTTGTTTTTTGTAGAAGCCAAATAATCAAGAAATACAAATTAATAAACATAACAATAAAAAATGTGTGTTAACTTGTAATGCTTTAATAGTTTATGACAAAGGTGTACACAAAAAAACTAAAAAATCACGAAAACAAAAACGTAATGAATTGGTTTTATAATGGAGCTGTTGAGTCGCAATTCCCGTGTGTGTAATACCAAACTTAAATGCATGCACAATTCTCAGAATATCCTTGACTCTCATCGACCGGGCACAGTTTAAAAATTTGCTAATTTACTTTACTTATAAATCTCTACGAATGTACATGGGAGATCTATCGACTTACGGGTTTTCCAACCTCAATCCAAACCAACAAATGCAAAGCAATTTACAACATGTCAAGAAATCCATTTCACGCCATCTCAACTGTGAGGAATCAAATCAGAACCCAGATCGAAAAGTATATGTACGTTACATACATATATATTTATAGATGACACATGTATTTTGTATACGCTACTGTAAGAGTGATTTTTATGTGATTTTGAAACTACTTGAATATGTGATCCAGAAATATATAAAAAACAAAAAGAACAAAAAAATACAAATATTTATATATAAATGCAAGCTAGCGACAGCAAACAGCAATAAAACAAACCAAATTGTAAACCAACTTGACTTTATGTACAACAACAATGACAACAAAGAAATATGTTGTAAAGCTCCAGCTCCATTTAGAAAACGAAATGCAAAGAGGAGAAATTTAATAGTTGAAAAAATGGATACGCATAGAATACCTAAAAAATTGTCTTACACATTTAGACCAGAACGTGAAATCAATCGTAATGAAATGAACAGCTATATTAAATGTCTAAAATATCAAATTAATTTAGCAAATAAGCGTTCCCAAACATTAGTTTTAACTAATGAAATAACAAACGAGTAACTAAAGCAAAGGCAATTACTTCTACACAATTAGAACAAAGAACAAATGTTTGCTACCAATTGTTTCAACTAGTTAACTCTAAATAAATTAACAAATTATAGAAAACTGAAACTAAAGGTTTAAAATGATAAGTTAACCACAAATAGCAACCGAAAACAAGACAACTCTGAACACCGAACAGGAATTTTAAAGATGAAATCGCGGAGACCGAGCAATTTGCAACCGAAAGTACTGTCTAGTATTTTAAACTTGTCTACAACAATTATGAATCAAGTAGATTTATGCAATTTTGTGCGAACCAAACCCACACAGACACACACAATAAGTGAAACACGATAAACTAAGTGAAATAAATTTGAATGAAATTATTTTTTTCTAGAATACTACAAATGTGTGTCAAGACCTAAATGAAATAAGCAGAATTTGAAACTTTTACTAGAAATAAACGCTGAACTAGACTCGAAAAAATTCGACAGCTCTTCATAAGTTAACTTACAACTAGCCTAGGCTATAGGTAATATGACAAATATATTTACTATTTACCCGAATAGAATATCAATGAACATTTTACAATTCATTTGCGGTTTATGTGTTCTATATCTCCCTTGAGCTAAGATCAGTTTAAATATTGTATCTTCTTTGTGTTTACCTCGGTTTATATAACATCTGTCGAATAATATTAACATCGATCCACTGATATTGGTCAGATGTCATAAAGCTTTTGGCTTATAAAGTTTCTTATCGGGGATTAATTGCCGCGGAAACAGGGCCATAGCAATTTATTTTTATCACTTGCAGTATAAATTAAAGTACATTCTCCTGGTATAATAAAACTTAAAGACCAAAAACAATATTTGCTTAACGACGTTCATATGATTTCATTATTTTGTTCGTTCTCTTCGTAGTGACTCGATTTGTTTCCTCGCCTCACCAAGCAAATGTTGTGTGTTATTGCTATAGATATTGACAAAAGTGAAAAAATATACATTTAGAGAGAAACAGGATCAATAAAATCGTGTTGTAATGCTTGGCAAATGATCAGAGCGAAAGAATTGACAAAGCTACAAACAATAGACTCCGACTCAAAAACACCCTTCCACATTGTAGACAATGCAACCTTAACAAATCAATTATTTAACTAGTTATGCCCACAGAGGATATGAATACAAATATTTGAATATTTATATATATAACATATTACCTATGATAGCAATATCAAAATATTATCAAGCAAATTGTGTAGCAATTTATTTATGTATTTCGAATCAAGAACAAATGTTTGTCCAAGGCGACCAGAAAAGCAACAAAAGCATCTGCCTCAATCCGAATATACACACCTCTATATATATATTTACGAACCTAAGTGTTGGCAATAATCGAGTGGACAGCAGGAGTTTCTATATAGGCATTTGCTAAGGAGAGTTACTACTATGTAAACTATGCAATTAACAAATTGATAAATACAAATTACTATTTAAAAGAATGATTAATAAAACCGTGTTTAAAGCAAGCCCCCCCCCTGAGTTTCTTTCCTAATTTGTTGATGATGAGAACGCTGCAATTTTTTGTGTTCTCTTTTCATTTTTTGCAGTCTGCAGACGAGACAAAGCCAAGGCGCTTGGTTCCCATGCAGCCAGCAACCACAACAAAGAGCAGAGAAAAGGGCAATATAAAAGGTAAAGGCAGAGCAACATCGGCATCAGCAGCACAAAACTCGTAAGAATTTTAAAATGCACGATAATCGTTCAGTGATAGCTAAGCAAGCCGACAATGCCCGTCTGCCTGCCTGTCCTGCCCTTACACTCATCAAAAAGTTAACCCGTGTTCTTTAATTACCAACAGAAATGTGGACTTAAGACATATATTATATTCAAGCAAGCAAAATGTATTTTTCATATAACTATACATTTTCAGATAATTTTTTGTTACAAGTTAAATAATTTGGAGTTATCCCGTTTACTTTTAAATGTATATTAATATTTTTTTTAGTAATAACGAATTTTCACTTCCGAATTTAGTTATAAATATGAAAATAAGTACAATATGTTTTTCCATTCAAAGCTGCGTAATTACATTTAAACAAAAATTTAAATTGTTATATATATTTTGTACTTTTAAGAAACTCTCTTGGTTATTTTATGAGTGTATTATCTCATCTCTTCGCTGCCACTTTAACCTGAGCCACCGAGGTCCAGGGAGCCAGTTTGAAACAAGGTAGATGCTGCCGTTGCTGCGATATCGCCGCGTTCGCGCGTTAAACACAAGCGCAACAATTTTTATTCTGTCAGCGAACGCGTGCCTGTATTTGTGTGGTCCCGGCTTCAAACTGGACTGGACCCGGGTCCATGGGCTCCTCATGCCTCATGCCTGCTGCCTGCTGCCTGCCATCCTTACCTTCTGATCTTGCGTGGCGATCTCACGCGCTTGCGCCTGCGCTTGTGAAGAAGCACGCTGCAATGGAAACTGGCGGGCATATCAGCAAGGTCCCAACATAGGTAGCCGGCTGGCTTATAAATACATTTTATGAGCGCAAAAGTGTTGCCATTTTTCATGCTGGCAAAAGCATGGCCCGCCGCCACCGTCGCCCAACTATTTTTAGATGGACATGTACAAGAGCAGGCGGGGGAGAAGATCGGGACAGCATCAGGCTTTCGCCTCGATCTCGATTCGTGTCCATGTTCTGCAGTGTTTCGCACGCTGCACGCTACACGCATTTCCACTCGAAACTTGTTCTTGCCGCTGCCATCGCTTCCCCCGCCGTGATTTGTAACACGATACATTTCGCCGCCGCCGCCGCCGACTGAAGTAAAGTAAGGGTGTATATATATATATAGGACCTAAGATCCCACCCGATCCGATCCGATCCACGGGTCCCTGCTGCTTCTAATGCATTTTTCAGCTCTTTTGCATCCAGCCCGGCCCGATCAGCTCATTAGGCATTTTTAATTTGACAACGCGCGCAATTTATGTGGGAATTTCACGGCGTGTACCTTGACTCATCCACAGAAATCGAAACGAACGAAACGAAAGACTTAGGCAGCGAACTTGGCACGCCAAGCTCTGCTCAAAAATCAATTTTCAATTTGCTGCAGTTGGTCGGGATGCGAAGGGATGTATGGAATGGGACGGTATGGAATGGAATGGGGCTCGTGTGACTACCTCTGGGCCCTGACTGCCGGACTGACTAACTGACTGACTGACTGACAGACTAACTAACCGACTGACTGCCTGCCTGCCGTCCTGCCTGCAACATTCGCAGATCAAAGCCAAGCGAAGGAGAGCGCAAGACGACCCCAAAAAAAATGACAAGAAGGCTGCTTTTAAAAACAGGACATCGAAGCAATAGATACCCTTCAAATATTTTATTTAATTTGTTATAAATAAGGCTTAACTACTTTTAACATGTGATAAATAGCAAAGGACTATTAAGCATGAAATGATGACAAATAATAAATTGAGTAATAGAGTACATTTACTTTGTTCAGTGAATCATGCTGAAAATAAATGTAATGGCCAACTGCGTTATGAGGCTATGGTTGCGTTATGAGAATAAGCGATATTTTTGATCATTCGATTCGATGAAAAAATTTAAAGTTTTTTGATATTTTGTGCAGTTTAAATGAAGCTACAATTGTTTCATTTCAATATGTTTTATCTTTGACTATTATAAAATCAATAATAAAATCAACTTTCATTGAAAAATATTTATAAAATAAATAAAATTTTGAAGGACCCTTTTATGACCCTTTTTTTTGCAGGGTATCGAAAATCTATTTAACCGGCACAGGCGTTGACGTTGATGTTGGCCCCAACTTAACGAAGTGTTGCCTGGCAGTCCCCGCCCCTCCAGCCCCCTTTAACCCCTGGCTGCCGGCTGCTGTGACTCTGAGGCAGTGGCTGCATTTCGCGTGCGGTTTTTGTGGCCGGGCGGCATTTGGCCACGAGCGGCGCATAACAAAAAGGGAGTACAGAGTACGGGCATTGCGAAATTGGAAATCCTCCGACGATAAAAATGTGCAATTTTCTAAGACCCGAAAGCACTTGAGAGGGAGCACACAAGCACACAGCTTTAGCTTTCGTTGTTTCACCAATGATGTGTTTTACGTGCTGTTGTTGGTCATCAACTTTCCATAATCGGCGCGCAGACAACAAACAACTTGAGCCTGCGACGCGGGCCGCCCGCTGGGTCCGCCGGCAACAACAACAGCAACAACAACGGCAACAACAAGGGCAACAACAAGAGCAACAAGCGCCACTTTGCTGTCAATTCAAAATGATAAAGCAAACAAATATTAACCCACTCCAAGTGGACGCATGTGGCTGCCGTCTCATGGCACTTTCTGACAGCCCAGCGACACTCGAGCCGATCGGATCCGATCCCGGGATCTGGGACTGGGACTCTCTGACTGTGGGAATGTGCCACGAATCCCCCTCTCCAACTCCATCTCCATCTCGGCACATTCAGAAAGACAGTCGCATTGCCACGGCTTAAATGCTGTTCCAGGCCATAATGACTTTTAATTTTTATGGCACTGGCTGCCGAGGATGCCGATGCAACATCAGCAACAGCAGCCGCAGAGCTTAAGTCGCATATAATTCAAGTCCATCAACGCATGCGCTTCACTTGACCACCGCCATGATACACATTTAAATAAGAGAGCCCATGCCCCTCGAAGATGAAATCCCCCTTCCCCTTATGCTGTCGCCTGCACGGCCACTTGAGAGGGCATCCATGTGACTCGTCTGCGTCTGGGCTGGATCTAGCTCCTCCAACTCCTCGAATGTGGATCTTCAGATGCCCGATGCTCGGGTGCTCGGTGCTCGAGAGGGCAACAACGGCTCAGCGTTGTTTAATATTTTAAGTAAGTGCAGCCGCTTGGCTTTGTGGTCAGCATGGGAGAAGCTTCATGGGATTCCTTCTATGATGCAGTGCAATTTGTTAACAACGAATCGGGAGTGTGGGCCCTTAAGACAAAGTGGTTTGTACCTTTTAAAAGTTTTTATTTGTTTAATATTATTTGGGAGTCGTCTTTAAAAGTCACTCTTTATTTCCTTAACTTTTCCTTGTTTCTTAAAAATTACTAATGATTAAAGAACTCATTAAACTGGGCTTCGAATAATATAACCTCATAGTCTAAAGTTGCAAATTGGTAACCAGGGTACTTTTCTTAAATCAGACTAGATAGATAGATAGATTGATAACCTTATAGCCATACTTTTTATTCCAAGAACTAGTAGTTATCATGGTTCAATTTTTTTAGGAAACAAATGGCATATGTTTCCATATCTACCGAAATTTGATTTGTGTACTGATTTGGCAGTAACATTCGTTGCATTTAGCAGCATTTTTGTGGTTTGTCTCATGCAAAAACTGTTGGCCAAATACGCGCCGCATGTGGCCAAGATACCTTTCCTGTTCGGCCCTCCTTTGGGCCAACGGTCGCTGCTTACTCACCGTGATCTCGACTGCCCGACTGCTGTTTAAACCGCATCGATCGCTGCCAGCTGATAGCACAATGGACCCACTGCACAATGATAACTATGCCGCTTACGACTTTTTGACTCTCGTGCCGGCCAGGATCAAAAGGAGTCCGGTTGACAAATGTTTGTACACACACCGGCAGGCAGGCCGAGTGTTACCGAGACCCTTTTTATGTCCAGTTACTGGGACTCTGGCTGTGAATGTTTATGTTACAAGCCCCTGGCCCCTGCCCCTTTTGCTCCCGGGCCCATTCAGTGCCGTGCAGTGGCTGTTCCTGCCTTTGTGGTGGCAAATTCCCCGGAATTCCGGAGGCACATCCACATCCATCCATTTGCCTAATTTCTATCTCGGCAGCAATTCCCCAATGGCATTTCACTTGGATTTATGTGAATTAAACAGCCAGAATTGCCGCCCCTGCGAGTGCGGCGGCACATCCAAATCCGAGTACGAGTCCGAGTCCGAGTCCCAATTCCAATCCCTGGTAGCCGTAAATGTCAACATCCATTAGAGACCTCAAACCGTTAGTGGCATTTGTCGCACGCTATGAGGCCAACAGCCACCGCCGCAGTCACAACAAGAGACCCACAACTCGCAGCATGATTGAGTGGCTGGTTCTTGGAATCAAATCGAAATCAGCATTGGCTCGATATGAGAACAGCGTTGGGCTTGCTTTCGGTATCCGGACCCCTTTATCTGTCATTCCAAAGTGGCCATAAAGAATATAAATATTCTCGTAAATATTAGTTAGTATCAGTTATTAAATTACCGCGACCTTCACAAGAGATAGCCGAGCAAACCGGTGCGACGGGGCAAAGCACGCGTTATGGCCATTATTTGTTAATTATGTGGCCGCTCATGATTCTCTCTAATGCCAGAGCCGCGCGAGTTGTGCAGCCAAAACAAAAGACTTTGGCAACAAACTTGCCAGCTTCAGCTAGCTCCGTGATCATAAAGCACTTCTGAAATTCAATGAACCCCAAGCGAGAGCAGCATAGTTGTGAAGTCGGCCGGGAAATCGAACAATAGAT